TTAGAATCTGTCTTGATTTTTAATGAAAAACGCTTTCATCTAGTGTTTTTTTTCCTTAAAAAAAACAAAATATTGAATCTAATAGCAGGGATTTTTATCCGGTTTAGATTTGATAGTTTCTTTTACCAGAAAAATACCGAATGTAAACCGGATTCGAACCCGAGTAGATCGTGGAAGTAATAATGCTGTCTTACAAAGTTAATCACATAAGTGTGATCTTTGGTCTCATGGGACGACAATTTCATGAGCCGTGGGCCAATACTATGACCGGTATGGTTTAACAATAGCCGACCCGCGTGTAAATATGCCTTTTCCTTTTGTTCGTGTGATTAGACATTCAATTATTAACACGTCCGACTATTAGAAGTCCTTTACGTTTAATGCAAAGAGACTTTTTAAATTGGTAAAAAAATCATAAATTAAATTAATCTTAAGAAAATATAAAACTCGGGAATTGTCCAGGTCGGTGTAATGAGGGAGGCATGACTACTTTGTCCGACAAAGACTCCGTTTCGCAAAAAACGTTCCTAGATCTCAAAATTATGTTGGTATATATATACATTGTGTAAATATACAACCACAACGTTTCAGTTTAAAATCAATTAAGCTTGTACTGTATAACGCAAACGCGAATCACAAAAATTTTAACACAAACCAAGAAATACAAACATATATCAAAATAATTTTTATAGAAGCAAAAGAAAAAGTACACATGCATGTGCATTGGTTAAGCGTAAGCTTTCCGACAGTGTTAAAATTGTACTATAGTTTTTACATCTCGAGTGATAAAAAGATTTAAGGCTTATGGATCTACCACATATTACCAATCTATTGTCCTAGACCTCAAAGTTGATGTACCACCCAAAATCCATAACTTCGTAGAGATTTTTCTAAATCAAAGCTCAAAAATGCTACGTCAATATACGTACGTTTTGCTTTTAGCAACAAATTATTAGTATAACAAAATTCTTTATAAAAAAAAAATACAAATTATTGATATAAGTCTTATGCAAAGTCGTGCACCACGCCAATACAAGCTCGAGTATCTTCAGATTATGAAACATGATTTAACTCTAGATTTTGTGTAAAGTTTAGTTCGTGCTCTTCATGTTCAATTTTTATAATGCTAGTACAATTCTTAATCTTTTCCCTAACTACTTTACTTAAAGTTTACGTGATATATTTATTATACGATGACCATTGTCGGGTCATGCTACATTGACCAATGCATCTTACAACATAGTATTTATTAGTATTAACAAATAATTCCAAAAAACTTTGGTGTTCTTATTACCTTTGTTGATTTGTTGTCACGATTTATGGATTCATATCGTGGCCCATCATTTTTGGTCGACTCTGATGGAACTTGGAAGCAATTAAAATAACTTACTCAGAAAACCATGTTTTTTTAAGCCCCATATATTCAGCCCATTTTGAAATTATATAAGTATGCTTATAACCGGTTTTAAAACCCGATCCGGTCAATTGGATTGGCATTTTCGCCCGCTAAGCATTGAAATCGACTTCAAATAACATTTTCAATGAAATCACTGAAGAACGTTTGATTTCAATGAAATCATAGTACTTGAAGATTAAAGATGGTGGAACAAACACACAAAAATGTGCTATCTACTTTTGTTTTTTCAATATTCACCGTATATTCAACCAAGTGCTATCGGTTTGGTTGTTTTCTTAACAGATGAACCTAACCGAACATTTGACTTGTGGAGGACATGTATTACATGAAAAATAATAATTAGGTGTTCGAACTCTTTTTGCAAAAAAATCTGATCCGGACATTTCTGTTAAGAAGAAGGCTATTGGAACCAGAGACACTTCAAAACGGCAATTAACAACAAATCTTTGGGTTCATAGAGCTTTGTTTTCAATTTCCACGCCGTAAAATATAAACTAAACTAAAAATCAAAAATTTTTGTTTCAGTATAACGAAACAATCCAGGTCTACACTAAAAACTGGTTAATCCAGAAAATTTGTAATCATAGAAATCAAATTTCCACCGTCCGTTCTCGTAAATGTGCTAAGTACTATGGGATGAAAGAAAACAAAACTAATTTGTTACTATTTTACTTCCACAATAGAGCCATTAGAGCATCCACATTAGAGATATTTTGTGGGTGTCTCACAATATAAAATTATTAAAATTTGAGTAAAAAGAAGAAATAGAGTATTTTTTGTTGAAATAGTGTGGTGTATTGAAATATAAAATTAATAAAATTTGAGTAAAAACAAGAGATAGTGGGTATTTTTGGAGAGATTGTGTCTTGGAGAAAACATAAGAGAGAGAGAATTGGGGTATGTTTAAATATAAAATTAATAAAAATTGAGTAAAAGGATGAAAGAGAAGGTATAAAGTTGAGTAAAAAGATGAATGAAAAGGTATAAAGTTGAATAAAAGAAAAAAAAAAGTGTGTTTTTAATATTTTTATATTGTGAGACATTGGTAAAATATCTCCAACGTGGATGGCCTTACATCTCCTATGTCCTGTCCTCCACTCTCTGACTAAAATTATT